CGTTACGCTAATATGAAGAACATATTGTGTAACATTTCGGTCGATCATCCAATCAGATTTAAAGCCCGCTATGCTTGGTAGGAGTATTTATTGTACACGACCAGATCGTACGCCTCAACTGGGAAAGTCCTGAATCACTGAAATAGTAATATCTCCCGAGAGATTCTTTTGTTAGGAGTGTTTAAGGGTTATAAAGATTGAATCTACCCGTAACAATAATCATCACAATCATATGTATAATTTTTAACAAATCAAATAAACTTTATGATATACGAAACTTAACCTTAGACTACAAGTATTTTTTTATTTCAAAAATGCTGAAAATGCAAGAATATAATACACTAATCAAGTTTATATTCGAAACAAACAGACTTAGAAACAACAATTTGGCTTAGACAAATTAAGTGGTTATCATAAAATGGTAGAATTAAAAATTTATAATACAGCATTCAAACAAATAAATATAAGAAAACAATAATTGGGTTTAGATATTGTTAAATAACCAAATTAAATTATTATTTTAAAAAGGTATAACTAAAAGATAAGAATTTATATCTGTTCTATAACATGGATCTTTAGTCATTTTGAGCTTGATCAGTTGGTGTTTTGTCGTCTAGTAGTGGTATTGGTGGTGGTTGTTGTTGTTGTCGTCTACTACGTTTATACCAAATAATCGAAATTGCAATTAAGGCAATTATGATAAAACTTACAATAACAGAAGAAAGAATAATCTTTAATAGATTATTGGGTTCATTGGATTTGGAAGTACTGGTTTCATTGGGTTTGGAAGCATTATACACACTAATAGCTAAAGGACCTCCACAAATTTGCTGGTTATTTCCAGCACAACTAGTACTACATTCATCTGGGCTTATCTGATTAATATGATTATAATTATTTGCACAGAAGCATTGCGTTCCAATCTCAAGTCCTGCATATTCAAAGTTGTTTTGACTACAAAAATCAATGCATTTATCCACCGTCATACCTGAAAGTTCTTTTGATGTATCATTCAACACCCTCTGATAACAATAGGGACTATCTTTAATGCATTGTTGGTATCTATTATCATTATTAAGGTTCTTGATTATTGCAAGTTTATCAGTGACACTTATAGTAGGTAGTGGATGACCTAGAATTCCAGTTTTTGTGTCATAAACAGTATAGCTTTCTTTACCTCCACAAAAATAACTGGAGTTGCCGATACATGTGACATTACAAATTGAGTCATTTACTTTAGTATATGATGTTACTAAGTTACTTTTGCTGCCGCATTGACACTGGCTGCCATTCTTGAGGGCAGCAACCTCGAAGAGATAGTCAGTGCATCTGATTATGCATAACCCTGGATCCATTATGAATCCATAACGATCTTTATAAACAGGAGGAAAACCCAAGTTTGAAAGACCATTCAGGTTGTCTGAAGAACCATTATTCAAAATAAAACAACCTAAAGGACTACTTGATGGGACATCTCTTGGAGTAATACATTCTCCATTAGTCAAATCATCCCAAGCATAAGTCTTAATTCCAATCAAATGTAAAATGAAAAAAATGATGAAATGTTTTAAATCCATAAAATTCATAGAGTTGATTGAGTGAATGTACAGTACATTACGTGCTGTACATAAATATGTACAAACAAAAAATGTGATCCACAAATAATATTTAATTAGGAAATTTTAACAAAGCACAAATTGATGATGGTCGTACGAATAGTAATGTCGTGCTTGAAGGTAACATTTGCTTGAAGCTGCATTGACAGAAATTAGTCCCCGAATTTAGTCCTTTTTACATGCATTTGTTAGCAAGTTTATGCAAATTTAACTTCAAGTCTTGAATTTGCAACTTCAAGCACGACAGTAATACACAAATATAATCAACAATTTATTTCTATATAGAAAATATGTAATGTATAATTAATAAAGTATGTATAATAGAAATTAAGATATGCTAGTATATTTTGTTCATAAAGAAATTCTTTAAAAAGATTTTACCTAAAACCTATACTAAAAAAGGGTCATATTTAAACACATTCTAACCCTAATTATGAAAAGAAATCACTTATAAAAAATAAATGCCAAGTTTTGCTAATTATACATACTTTCATAAATTTTTTGTAGCTTAAATTTATACAAACATTTAATGCATTACTTACATAAAGTTTATACGATACATATTTCTGCAATAACCATTTTCTATTTGTTGTTTCAAAAACCGTACGTACGTACGTTGTACAAGGGGAAATAATCCTTTGGTTCTGGATGACACCAATACACACTACAACACAATACAAGAACTAACTAAATTACTCTATACAGAACACTACAACTAATACAACCAAACCCCTAGTATTGGTAAGGCAACGATCGAGGCGTGGAAAAGACTTGGTCCGAGTAACTAGGGTGAATTGGGTTCTTAGCGATAGTGCCGGATTAGAGCTCTTGATTACGTCACGAATCTTCTTATTCAGAATCACGGGATTTGGTCACGAGTTCCTTTCG